TTTTTTTTTTTTTTGCGTTATTAAGCAACAGGTGTTTATTCTCTCTCAGTGCTAGAAGTCAGAAGTCTGAGATTAAGGGTCTCAATAGGGCTGGTGTCTCCTCAGACCTCTTTCCTTGCCCCATAGTGGCCGTCCTATCTCTCCTGGGAAAGACAAACTCTCCTGGTAGTGAGGTGGTCCTGGAGGAGGCAGGTACCAGAAGGTGGGGAGGCCAGGGTCCAGTATACCTCTGTGCCTCTGGAATCCATTGAGGGTTGTGGCCAGGCCCTCTGGGCACTGTCAGCCAACCTGGTACATATTCCAGTGTTGGTTCTGTGAGCAGTGCACCCCATCCCGAATATAGACGCCAGCATGAGAGGCTGGACTGCTTTTCATTATATCGAGTAAACAAGGGAAGAACATGAGTCTTCATGGGCAAATGTCTCTTAGCAGAAACCGCTGTGCTATGGTGAGTTCTATGATGGCCCCCCCAAGATTCTCGCCCTTGGTGTTCACAGCTGTATCATTTCCTCCCTTGAGTGTGTCTCTGCGAATATGAAAATGTGACATGTAGCATTCCCATGACCAGGCGGAGGTGATAGGATAGTTGCTCTTTTATTGCTACATTACAGAAGACTCTGACTTAGCAAATTGGAGAGACACATCCCCAAGTCGTTAGGGACTGGCTCAATGCAGGGAAAAACTTGTGCTAATCAACACAGTATGAAGGCTTGAGGCCTTCTAGGATCTTTTCCGGGCATATACATCTCCCCTGGTTGTGTGTGTGTGTGTGTGTGTGTGTGTGTGTGTGTGCGCGCGTGCGTGTGTGTTTTCCGCAATTCTGTAGTACACATGTCTTAATTTTGCTAAAGGTCTCACACCCGCTTCTTCTCAGGGCATAAATGTTCTGTTGTATTCCTCTGCCTAATCTATCCCCGGCACCTGCTGGACTGCTGTCTTCCTGCAGCTATCCTGAGTTTGGAATCTGCCAATATCCTTACTGGCCTCCTACCTGCTTTCCAAACTATTGCCACCATTCCCATCAGCGCAGAGGCAGGAGATGCAGAAACTGGTCCTATCCTCAGCCTTCAGACAAGTTAGAACATTGCAATCAAGTCCCACTGTTTTCCATCCTTCCTGGGTTTCTACAGACCTTCAACTGATTTTTAAGTACTCATAAAGTATTTTGGTCAGCATGTTTTTGTTTATTCAAGTGTTTTTAAACGTAGCAAGGGCCTGTAGTTCCATA